ACGGTCCGTGGGGATTTTTTATTTGTGCGAAGCAAAACCTAGACACGGTTGGGTGGGTGGGGGTGTGGCACATTCCGACCGGAGGGCCCTGCGCGGGCCACCAATGGGTGGCCGCAAAGGGGCGCGCCTGCCCCGAGCCAATCAAAGTGCGGCTCCTCGTCTGCCCAAAAAAAAAATGGAAAAAAAACCCCGATGCGACCGAACGCATACACACACTCATCGTCAACCCTGAGACGTTTGAACTCTTACGGTCACCGCCGAGCAAACCCCGCCCTCTCCCCCCCCCCGAAAAAAAGACGAACGAAGAACGAAAACAAAACGAGACGAAGTGACAAGACGCGACAGCAGGCTCTCTGTGTGTGTGTGGAAGAGTTCCGCGTGCTTAGCAATGGTGGTGGTGGTGTGGGGGTAATCGACAAAAGGCCGAAATGTCCCCCCCCCCCCCCAATATATTGCTATAAAAAAATAATTGCTATGCTGTGCAAATAAAAACAACAATTTGCTAAACCTTGGCCACAATATCTAGACTTGTCTTCATATAAATAAAATGCATAGATTTCTGTTTATATGATTGTGGTTATGGTTTTACTTTATTAATCCCTAATCTCTGCCATTATATACAATGAAACAAGAAATGGTAAAAAAAGTAAAAACAGAGCAATGTAATACAATATACACTACTAGACATTATTGTAAAAAAAGTCCATCCCATGTGTTAGTGAATTTTTTTATATTTTAGGCAGGAAATTAGTTTTCAAATTTAGATATTTTTCTGGGTTGGGATCCCCAGACACCCTGGAAGATTTGGTCTCCCTCCAATGTTGACTCCATGGCTACGACCTTGAATCGACAACAGCCGCCGATGACTTCACTTCACCCTCCCCGTAGATTCCTAACATCCCGTTAGATTGCAACGTTTGCACATCGCTAAAGTGACGATTGCAAACGAAGAACGACGGGCGGGCTATTGTTAATGGTAATTATTAAGAACCCACGATGTTGAACGTCGCTTGGATGTCGGGCACCGATGGATTAATAAAGAATTTAGGAGGTATTCATTGTGATGCATGAGTGTACATATCTACGGCAATGTAAATCATGCGAATCGGGGTTGCGATGTGAGCGTGACAGTGGTGAACATGCAGTCGACACACCACATCTGTGCATACATTACCTTCCGTCACCGTCAAGAGTGCTCTGCATATAAAGGGAGCTTTGGGATTGGGCAAGTGTGATTCTGCACTGTGATAATGGCTGTTGTTGTAATGTGGAGACACTATATAACCGTGCAATCTTAACTATCTGGGACAAAAGTTTCTGACCGGAGAAAGCCACAAACTCGCAGATTAAATTACTACTTTTACTGTACACGACATAACTTTTTCCAGACTTTCTCGTTCAGTGATCACATTAAATGCGTCCATGGCGTCCATAAATATTAAACATCAGCTGCAGTACTTTGATTGTGCACATGAAAAAATGTGTACGACAGTACATTGTCGATAAAAATGGATGTTCATTTGTAATGAATTGCTGCTGCTTTCAAGTTGTAAAACATTATTTTAAATGGCCCAAGTCTTTCAACTTGGCTTTTACATTTGTAATAATACAACACATTCCAAACAACAATCTGCTGGTACACTTTAAGAAAACTACATCCTGAATGCCTATACAGACAGCAGTTATGTTATTCCCCCCCTCCCCCTATACCCTTATATTTGTGCTCACACATGAAGTATTTTGGTGTCGCAGATTGACGATTAAGCATCCCTGAGAGGGTGTGACGGGAGTCCGGCAACTTTCCACCAATCAGTGTTGGGGGGCGCGGCAGCCTGGGCCAATCACAGAGCGCGCATGCAAGTGCCCTTTCGAGCCGGCCCACGTCCAGCTGAGTACGACAGGGGCTGCAGATTTCAGATCGCGAAACAATGCGCGCTGTTCAAAGGACGACCTCTGCTGGGCAATTGGGCAAACTTGAAGACGTGTCAGTTGCCGCTAGGCGGGTAGTTTTTATCATAAATGTGTTGAGCGTGTGCGGCGTGAATGTCGAACTTATTTCGCACCGCACATAGCCAACTATGCTGTGTGATATATGAAACAGTTATAGGGAGTGCTTTAGTTCAGAACGCTGTTTTGGCACTTCCATCTCGCTTTATTTTTCCCTCAAGACACTGTGCATGGCATCATAAGAATACAGGGTGCAAAAAATATATGGTGTAGTAATATACGGTTTATTATGGATAGGCGTACTCTAGTCAATCAATAAATGTCAATTTGTTACACAGAAAGTCCAATTTAGCCAGTTATCCAGCTAGTTTGCCAGAGGGATCCGTGCTGCATCAGCACAGATCAAGTTAAGCAACGTCAAATGTGGCGGTGCCTTATGATCCCAACTCCCAAGATAGCCCAAACAGTGTTGCAGAAAATATCTAGTGAGACATTAAGCCACGGTCTTAGGAATCGTATACGTTTCAAGCAAAAGAGTTGTCTTCAACAGCAACACGTAACAGGACATGCAGAATGCTCTGTATGTCAAGATTAATTCATTAAAAAGATTTTTGGGTTAGATCGCGTAAGTATAAATGTGTTGTAACTCGTAACCCTTCACCACCCAACACAGCCAGAATTTAGATTACAGCCAGTAAGATCTAGATTTGAAGTTTTCGTGACTGCAGGGATCCATACTCTTTGGTTCTTTCGGTAAAGTCACGTAGGTTTAAAATAAATTAAATCATGATGTTTCGGGCACAACACAAGCGTCCGTCATAAGGTGGGACAACCACAGCAAGAATTGTTCAGCAATTGTTTACCGGAAGAACCAAAGAGTACAGCCAGTGAGGTTTGTCACGTAAACAACGCGCCAATTCGTTACTACTTCAGCCCACCGGTGTGTTGAAATCGGGCGATTTGCCCGATGATGATGGATGTAATTATCAGCGAAACGTCGTATTCAAAATGTAAATGTTTGTGGATTTACTCTCGAACACACCGGTGGGCAGAAGTAGTAACTCATTGGCGCGTTGTTTACGTGACAAACCTTACTGGTCGTGTCGGGTGGTGGAGGGTTACGACACATTTATACTCACGCGATCCAACCCAAAAACCTTTATTATGAATAACATTGGTCGCGAAAGCCTGCGTGTCAAGATTAACATCACAATTCTTGCATACATTCTGCACTCGGCCTTGACATTGTCACCAGCTCAGAGAGAGGATGGTGGGATGTTTCATCGAGACCACCAAAACAGCACGGCAACGGGATACCGTCTCATCATTGTAAGCGATCATCAATGCAATAGCATTGTCCAATGCTGCCATTTATACCTGAGAAACACGTTGATCCGCCTTCGCTCTACACTGATGGGAAAAATGCAGCGCAGCGGAAGAGTAGTCATGCCAAATTAAATAACTGTTAAAATGTGCAATATCAGTGGTTGTCAAATGGGACAGACATTACATAAAAACTATAGTGTCCAAAACATATATTTAAATTATTTGTTTATGTGACCCCCAAATCGTAACAATTCATCAGGTAACTGGAGGGGGCAGTATCATTTAATATTTTTTTCACGTGTTCTGACCTTATTACTTGATGGAATGCAATGTATGATCCAATGCATTCTGATTCATTCTAAGTTACTCACTGGGGATCAGTCGCATCCTTACAACTCTTTTATCGCAACTACTTTGGTTAATGTTTCCGTAAACTTCACTTATTCCTGAAGCCATGTTGAGGCCTTAGTCCACCAGACTGTGATAGTGGTTCAACCACCACATCGAAGGTCGAAACACTTTTTTATCCCGGCATCTTCGCTCACGCTTATCGACTTAGGAAGCCCCTTCCATCATCTCTTTTGCCAATTTCTTATAACCTTGCTCAATTAAAAAAGTATGAACGTATCTATTCCAACTGTGCTGTTTTTTACAACTTCAAATGTGGTCTGCAACTGCGATTTAAAAGAACAGTCAGATGATGCACGATTCAATTTTATAATCATTGTCTTGGCTTTTAAACTCTAGTTATAACACACAATCACAGTTTGCCTTTAATGCATTTGACAATCTCCATTTATTTCCATGTTAGGCTTTTGTGAATTATTTGAGATGGATAAATGGTAAAAAATAAAACTAGGACTGTAGTAGGGCACAAATACTGAGTTCTATAAGGCACTGAGATACTTGTTTTAGTGTCAACTTGTAACACGGACGTAATTTGGATGTGACCGTCCGTCCGTCTGTCAATCCCTCCATGCCAGTCAGCAAAACTTTTAAAAATATAAATATTTCGATTTAAAGCTTTCGTGACTGCAAGGATTAATCTTCTTTGGTTCTTTCGGTAAAGTCACGTAGAATGAGAATAAAATAAGTTGATAAAATAAAATAACACAATAAAATTCTCACGACGTTTCGGCCACAACACAAGCGGCCTTCATCAGGTGAAGGGACGAGACAGGTGAAGGGACAAGACTCGTCCCTTCACCTGATGAAGGCCGCTTGTGTTGTGGCCGAAACGTCGTGATAATTTTATCGTGTTATTTTATTTTATCAATTTATTATTTTATTCTCATTCTACGTGACTTTACCGAAAGAACCAAAGAAAATATAAATATTATTGTTGAATGGTAAAACCACCATTAAAAAAACATTGTGTTGCAACGCAAGTTTATGCCATTTGATGGCCTCAGCGAGTTAAAACCGAGGCAAATATTGAAGTTAGCAGTGGGAACATCTACATGTGGCCACAAGGGGGTGCCATTGCATTTAGAGGTCATGATTTTGTGTCGCAGTGCTTCCTGCAGCACGTGACCACTATCAACCCCAGTGACCATGACTTTGTGTTTGTCAGGTGCTGGAAGGAATGTAAAAAGGGAGGACATTCCAAACAATTAAAGTTCATTTAAAGCTTCTAAATATTTTCAGTGATCTCTCTATTAATTGTATATATACAGCAACATGTTATTGTGTATAAAGTTTAACATTTTTGAACAAGCTGGTGGAGAAAATGTGCTCTTGTGTTATTTAGCAAATGCTTCACGTTTAAGCGTGTTTATTTTGCCAATACAATGTGCAACTTCTATTTCGATTCATATACCGAAAACAGTGAGTCACAGCAATATCATCTTATCTTAATGAACTGAACAAATCCGTCAATCACACTGCCTTAAGAGGATTTTTTTATAGATGACATTTTTCCAAATGCCCTCTATGGCCTCAGTTTTAAAACTGACATATGCATGTGTATTAGCGATCACATGCAAGAATGCCTTGAACTGAAGCAATTGAAACATATTGTAGCTGTATTTTGTGGTGATAAACATTTATATACCTACGATGCTTGTGAACTGTCATCCATTAATCGCCTTGGATGACTGGCATGGTCAATGTCTAACTTACTTGCTCGATATAAGGAAAGTCGAAAGCCACCGAAGGTGCATTCTTGTTCACAATGGGGAAGGAAATTTATATCAGCAAAACTAAAGCCATTGTTATTGCCTTGGCAGTAGCAGTGGCCTTAGTGGTAGTTGGCCTCATGGCTGGTCTAATTGGAAAAGATAGTGTCAGCAGTGATCCAAAAACTACATCCAAACCTTTAACAACCAAACCGTCCACCACAACGGCACCTCCATATCCCCCCGGTCCTTGGAATGAGTATCGTCTGCCTAGAAGCGTAATCCCAACGCATTATGAAGTGGAGCTCAAGCCTGAACTTTACAAACAGCCGGATGGTCTTTATATCTTCAGTGGCCAGGTGAATATCACCATGATATGCAAGGAGCAGACTGACGTTATCCTCATTCACAGCAACAAGCTCAACTACTCAGACAATGACAATATCTCACTCTCCGGACAAAACGGACCAATGGCCGTCAACACGTGGCTCGCAACGAAAACCGAATATCTGGTGGTGCAGTTGACCGGGGCGAAACTTGAGAAGGACATGGAATATGTTCTTCACGCAAAATTCAGGGGCGAGCTTGCCGATGATCTGGCTGGTTTGTATCGAAGTGAATACACGGAGAACAATGAAACCAAGTAAGTCACAGACGCTGTTATTTTTTTTCGCTTCATGCTGTTTTTTTCTTGACAAAAAATACTGAGCGATGTGACTTCTCAATGAAAGTGTGTGGTGTCTTAGCATTCTAATGGCACTGTTTTGGTTTGCTTGTAGACGAATATTTCCATTTACTTTAGTTTGTAACGTTAATTAATTAACTTTTTTTGGCTTTTTATCTAGGATTATGGCAACTTCACAGATGGAACCGACAGATGCCAGAAAAACATTTCCCTGCTTCGATGAGCCTGACATGAAAGCCACATTTGACATCACCTTGATTCACAAAGCTGAACATGTTGCTCTGTCCAATATGCCTGTTGTTTGTAAGTCTATCTGCATTCCAGTGATTACAATCCCACTCTCTTCCAAACATGTAACCAGGTATTCTCAAGTTATGGCTGGATGAAAACTAGTTTACTATTACTAGTGCAAGAACATTCAGCAGTATTATCAATGACAACCTACTCAAAACTAAAAAATGTATTGACGAAATTGATTCTCATGAACGTATTTGGTTTTAATGTATATTAAAAATGGGTTCCCAGGTCTACATCAACCAGAATAGGCCCAATATTGTCAGATATTAGCAGCCAAGCAGGTTTGGGCACGAATCGTCTTTGGAAGTGTGACCAGCATGCACAACAAGGTGTTATCGGCTGCAGGGCTACATGGTGGATAGCAGAGGGCAGTGCCGAAAATTAATTCTTCAAACTCAAAGTTTCTCGTCTTCACCAGCCTACCTAACCAGCGTGTTATGTATCGTTAAATGATTCCCACATGCAAACAAGGCAATGGGAGTTTCTCATCCAGCAGTAATCATGCACATCCACATGTAACGGGGTCTACATAAACCACCCATTCTAACCTCTCTGCAAATGCATTCATGCATACGTGTATACTTTTGTCTTCTCCATTTATAGCATACTTGGTTCACTGCTGTAATGAGTATGCTGTTTAATACATTCTGTGAATATATGTCCACAGCGACATCAATAGAAGAGGACTGGGTCCACACGAAGTTCAACACATCAGTGGTCATGCCAACATACCTTCTTGCTTTTATAATCAGTGACTTTGAAAAAGTGGAAGCAGTGGCAAACAAGACTCTAGTGAGTAATCACAACTGTATTGTATTATTAAAGGTGACCCGTGTTATTCATAATAAAGGTTGTTAGGAATAATATTGGTCGCGAAAGCCTACGTGTTAAAGTGATCCGTGTTGTTTGGCAGATATTTAACAATTCGCACATTTGCAGATACGCATCTGGGCAAAGAAAACTGAAATTGCCGCAGGCAATGCCGAATATGCGTTAAATATAACTGGGAAGATACTCAACTTCTTTGAAGAGTACTACGATGTGCCGTATGTCCTTCCAAAGTCAGGTACGGTGAAACCTTCAATGCGCTTAACAAAACAACGTGCGAACAGATTAATTTCATAAATCACGGTGCGGTCACGAGATATTGATAGGACAACGTCGCTACCAAAAAAAATATAACAATGCACTTTCACATGCGTGGCTTGGCGGCGCTCAGATCAAATTGCTATTCCGGACTTTGCTGCCGGTGCCATGGAGAATTGGGGTCTGGTGACCTACAGGGAAACGGCTCTCCTCTACAACCCCGACGTGTCATCGAATGGAAACAAGGAGAGTGTGGCCACCATCGTCACCCACGAGCTTGCCCATCAGGTCAGACGGACGACCGGGGCAGTCGCAGTTTCTCGCAGCGAGTTAGCGTCAAGCAAGGCGCCCGCAGTTGTTTACGTTTTGCTCGTGAAATCTAGGCTCGTAAAAATCGAAGCAACCCGAAGTAATGGTTGATGCAGTCAAAACAAGTTCGCACAAATGAAGCCATGAACATTTATATATGACGTAAAACAAAAGCGTGCCGTTATTTTACAGTGTTTGTTTACGCCGAAAATATTGGCTTGCTTATTATCCCATGCCGATATATTTTGCAAATGGCCAACTGCATTGTTGTCAATTTCCCCGTCGGTGCCCCCCACGTTACACGCAGTGGTTTGGGAATCTCGTCACGATGCGCTGGTGGTCTGAGCTGTGGCTCAACGAGGGTTTCGCAAGCTACCTGGAATACATCGGCACGCACGAGGTGGAGCCCAGCTGGAACATCGTACGTTAAAACGAATTTACAGTCGCGGTTACGCACCCTGGTTTTACATTAACGGGTTGCTTGTGGAGTGGAGGTCCAACATTTCAGCTGTGAAGTTAAAAGAAAGATGATTGCCTAACTCGTGTATTGTGAGACTCATGAATATCGAAATATACATTAACTTCAAATATATTAATAACTTTAGCAGTATATTCTTAGTTTTTTTCGGTAAAGTCACGTTGAAGGGAAACAACAAAATAATGAAATATATATAAAATCACGTTGAAGGGAAACAACAAAATAATAAAATATATATTATATACATTTCAAAAACTAAGAATATGAATTACTGCAGTCACGAAAGCTTTAAATCAAAACTTTAGCAGTGGTTGTAAAAGTATATTTTTATGGTTCTTGTCCTGGCAAAGTAGTCTTACTAATGTTGAATGATAAGAACAATTTACTTTACCCTTTCTGGTAAATGTTACAGGTTTTAAGATGTTCAAACACCAACAAGACACATATTAGACGGCATCAAGTCTTCCTTCACCACACATACTTGTGGAAAAACATGCAAACAAATATGATTTATAATCAGTTTCAAGAACAGTACCTACATTGACAAAGCATATTTGTTTTCATGTTTTACCATAAATATGTGTGGTTAATATAGACTTGATGCTGCGTAAGTGTCTATTTGGTGTTTGAACATCTTAACACCTAAATTTTTATTTAAAACTTTCGTGACTGCAGGGATTCATATTCTTGGTTCTTTCGGTAAAGTCACGTAGAAGAGAAACAATAAAATAATAAAAATATAAAACAATAAAATTGTCACGACGGTTCGACTGCAACACAAGCAATCATCATCAGGTGATGATGATTGCTTGTGTTGTCTCCATGTTTAATATTTTTATTGTTTCCCTTCTACGTGACTTTACCGAAAGAACCAAGTATATCTTAACACCTGTATTTATGCCAGAAGGGGTAAAGCCTTCTTCTTTTAGATCGTGATTTTGTTTTTACAATATACAAAAGTTTTCCATAGTTACTGTACAGTCATACTAATACTAAGCAATATACATTTTAAGCCAAACTCTTTGAGCATTTTAAGTATTACTTATTGACCTTAGGCTATTTACTTTCCAGTCTTATCACACGCCTAACAGTTGCTTGGTACGTACAGTATTTGTACAATATTAAGCCAAAATACACATTACCTATTTTAATCTTTCTTATGACAATATGTTCAGGAGCTACATACCAATAGCCACGAGAGAGCTCCCGGATATAATTTGTATAGTTTTGTTATTCCTCCACTGAAGGAGCACAGACTACAGTGGTTTACTATATGGTCCATAGTTTGGATTGCATGGCCACAATAACCCTTGTTTGGCTAGTTTCTCATGTTCCATTGACGATTATAATGTGCGCATCAGCCTGTTGATGTGCGGTTCTTTGAGGAATGTCAAAGCCAGGAGGTGCGATGAATGAGGTGTTTATTCTGGATGAGAGCTTTGACCTCATTCATGTGACAGTTCTGCGTGACGTTTCTCACTATCAACAGAAAGCATTGATCATATTGAACGATCTGCAGCGAGCAATGAGCGTGGATGCTCTTGCATCATCTCGCCCACTCTCCGTTCCACACAGTGAAGTTATGACTCCAGCTCAGGCAAACTCCATGTTCGACACCATCTCTTACAGCAAGGTGACCAGTACACAGAGGGTATTACTACAGTTGTGGGAAAGACATTAATATACTCAACACATTTGTCAATGACACTGCCAAAAATAATTATACGTAAAGGCAATGTGCATTGCTGCCAATGCAGTATCACACGAACATATACATTCATAGATATCTATATAGCCATTCTGAGCCCAATAATATGACATACTTGGTAAATAATAAATATTAAAATAATCGTGTCCTTTTTTTATCCAGGAATGTCTCACTGAGTCTTAAGACTATTTTTCAGGAGGATCCAGTATTGGCGTGTTTGGCCAAACCCATCAGTGAGTGTTTGGCATGTGAAATAAAACTGCAGTACCCAATACAACATGGATGCCAGGGGATAACACTCAAAGCTTTGCACAGATGAATTAAAACCATTTGCTGCACTGCCATTTCCTGGCCATCTCATAACCCAGTGGGCTCCACAAATGTGTGCCGTCCACCCAAACCTCACCTCCTGTGCCCGACTCACAATAACTGATGTCACTATGAAGGTTCATTAAAATCGTTTCCTCCCTATCTTGTAGGGTGCATGTATCCTGAGCATGACTTCCAGCTTTCTGACTGAGCCCGTGTTTGTAGCTGGCCTTAAGGTAAACCAATTTTACTTAATTAAACAATTCACATTTATATAGAGTGTGGCATCATTTTAAATGCGTCATATAACTTATATCTTATTTTAATTCCTTCAAATCAGTCATACCTGAAGGAAATGCAATTTGGAAATGCAGTACATCAAGACCTGTGGAGACATCTGCAGTGGGTAAGAATATATATAAACATTACATTTAAGTAATGCCACGAATACACCAATGATACTCATAGGAATAGAAATACTACTACTAGAAAACTATAAAATATATAATATAGTACCATGCAATAAAACAACATTTAAGGTACAATATTTTGTACATCTTTATGGGTTATTTTCATGATTTACATATTAAATGTAGAACAATAATACTACTTTCATTCTATATAGTGTCATTCATGCTCATAGCAAATCATAACGCTGTACATTAATGATATATGAGGATTAAATCCCATATACAGCCACTAGCAAGCAAATGAAACCCCTACAAGCAAGCAAAATCTAAAAGTAATAAGCAAATTAAGAAATGGCACCAATAAAAAACTCAAACTACAATAAAGGACTTCATTTGTACTTCATTTATTTGAGTGTGGAAATACATTGCATTTTTGCTTCATGCGCAGAAAACAATGACAAGATGTTAAACTCCTTCCCCCCTCCCCAATATCATTGCCATCCTTATAGGCGGTGGACAATCACACGGTGACTCTTCCAGTGGCTGTCAAGGACATCTTGGACCGCTGGACAATTCAAATGGGTTACCCAGTGGTGCACGTGAACACGTCCTCTGGGAAGCTGACTCAGTCCCACTTCCTGCTGAATCCCAACAGCACCGTCACCCGGCCATCTGAGTTCGAGTAATTTTTTGGGAGAATTTATTACGCTATCATTTCACGCAAATACTCCTGGCCGACCGAGTTTCACCTGTTTGGTGCCATCGCCACAACACATTAACTGCTCTCACTAAATGTTAATGTCCGCTGGGTTTTTTTTATAGCATCAAAGACTCGGGACATATCCTTATCATCCAAATGTGTATGGCCATCTCCAGTGTAAGCATTGTGTTAACCTGCACTTCTTGTTTCTTTCTTTTTATGCAGCTACGTTTGGTACATACCCATCACGTGGAAGACGTCAACTAATGTTTCCGCAATCAAATGGCTAAATGAACAAGAGGGTATGGGATGAGTGCACCTCAGTGTTGTCGGTTCACGTTGCTTGCCAACAGAATACACATCACACGGTGATTGAAGATATAGCGTCTGATTCGTGTAGAGGTTGCTTTTGCCTAGTTTTCTCTCCAGCCTAATTCACGAAGCAGTGCTTGACTCGGGCCAGCTGTAGTTGGTCGTATTGGCAGTGCCCGAATAAACCCCGCAGCCAATTGGTAGCCGAGAGAGTGCGGCCGGGGAGTCAGGATCGTGTGTGTGTGTGCTACATCGATGGTGGGGAACGGTAGTGTAGCGGTTAGCGCGCTGCGCTACGAACCCGGCAACCCGGGTTCGATTCCCGCTCACGGCCAACATCGGTGACGGTTCTCTGAACCGATACCTGGGCCTCCCCTAGGTGGACTCAGCCTCAAATGAGTATCTGGCGCGGTGTGTAAACATCGTCGCTGGGGAGACAAAGGCGGCCGGGTGTGGTGTTGGTCACCCACCCCCTCGTGTACCGTGCCGGCCTTTATAGGTGCTCGCTAACAGCACTTGCCCCTACAATCTGTCAAGGCTACACGGGGGATCTTTGGCTTTTGCTACATCGGCACGCTTGCCCTGCCCGACGGACCGAGCTGACCAATCAGAGACTCTGTCCATTTCAGAATTGAACACGTAAATGTTCGTGTGTGTGTGTGTGTGCCAGTTGCTGTCTTGATGGTTTGGCTGCCATAAATTTGCACCACGAGAAAGCCAATTTGTTGAGCGATCATTTGTGGCCAGGTCGCGTCTGAAACAAAAGAGCTATTTAGCTCCAGTGGGTCTTACCTGGTGGTTAAGCAAAATAAAGCGCTTCGCACATGAGCCGCACCCTCAAAGATTTGTCTAATGTCATTCTGCGTGATGGCAGATACGTTCCTGCAGAATTGAAAAGAGAGTGTCCGCGTTCGCATGTAAACTTCTCTACCATCGTTTTGACCTGCTCGACTCCCTGCCCACTCTGGATAATTCCCCAGTTGCAACAAAAGAAGGGGCAGAATGGAAACATGTTTGTGCTGGATCGGCCGCGCGTGAAGTGCAAGCCACGCACTATTCGTGATTTTGTACGAACACGGCTGTTAGTGCTACCAGAAAGGGGACAATTGCTATCCAAAATAGCGAATAAATTAGGCCCATGAACTCAAATTTATAACCTTTGGTCCATCAGCTTTTAAAATATCGACGGATGGCACACGTTTACAAGATGAATATGCCTAATCCTGTGTGGTTTATCATGCGGGTGTTTGCAGAGGTTTTCTCAGATCTTGTTCATCCTACGTCATGGGTGATCCTAAACGTGGAAGCGATGGGATACTACCGTGTGCACTATGATGATGGAAATTTCCAGCACCTACTGGATCAACTCAACCTGAACCATTCTGTAAGTGGTCCCGAGATAAACTCGTGCCACGCTTCAAAAATCATTGGCGATGGGGCTCCGGAGCCAAGGATATTATCCAATCAGCACGGAGTCTGTCTGCTTCCCCACAACTCCAATAACCATGCGGATCCAATGGCGCAAAGACTAAAGCCCTGTTTTCACCACTCTCTAATCTGCATAGCCATTCATGAAAAAATGTTTGTTTTGCACAACAGTGAACACAAGCTTGGGTTATATTGAGCTATAACAAACTAACAAATATTGTTTTGGTTAATTTACACCGTGTATTTATATATGTGTTTATATATATGAAGCAATTGGTGGGGAAAACCGCGTAGCGACACGAGTCTTTGCCTTACCGACAACAACAAAACTTGCGTCAATCGTTTGGCCTCGTCGAGAGCTACTCGGGGCACTAAGTTTCGTAAAAAGTTGAAAAGTTACATAAACACGTTAAATTCACTGCCTGGGGGGGTGGGCGGCGGTGGGGCTCGCCTTGGCAAAGAAGTTGAGGATCGACGGCTGACCGGAGGGCGTCGACTGCGGCGGACGCCCCCCGGGGCTCGCGTTTGGCCGGTGGGGTGGCGCCTATCGTGTCGATCGCCGCCTGCTGCTGCTGGCGCTTGTTGGTGGTGCGGTAGTCTGGGCGGGTGGCGCGTTGCTGTCGGGATCACGTAGTGGGCGGACTGAACAACAATAATAATTATTATTATTATTGACCTGATTTTTGCGGGACCCCAAGGTCCCGCCAAATGATTCATATATAGAATTATGGTCCTGAATTTGAAGTGTGGAGGAGTAGGCCAAAATGCATTCTAGAGAAGCTCTGTAGAATTCCCTCGAATGGAGGTTCTTTCGTCAGGAGTTGTGTAAGCAAGCAACACAGCTAACCATGAGAGCTCCTGATAAAAGTTAAATGAAACTGTTGATTTTAAAAACATGTATTCTTGATGACGATGATGGTGACACAATTTTCCACCATTCATGTTTATTATTTTATTAATGCCTCCATGTCTCCTTTTATTCCTGCAGGCTATACCACTTCAAAATCGAGCTCAGCTTATTGATGACACATTCAGCCTTGCAACGTAAAGTATTTATATTTTTTGGATAGAGTATTTATTATTGAGAATTGTATTCCTGCCTTGTCCATTTTCTTTTAGCCACGTTTAACATCTGACATTTTTACATTCAACGGTTTACACACCACTCTACTGACCAGTGCCGGACTAAGCTAGTGCGGGGCCTGCAGTATAAGTTATAAAGGGGCCCTAAAAAAAACATAAATATTAAAAGAAAATGTTTTTACTTGCACAATAAAGTAATCGTATTTTTTCATTTGCTATACATCCAGATAATACAACAAATCGCTAACCTTAAACACCCAGTCGTTCATAAATGTTGAAGGCAATATAGTACTATAGTAATAGAGCAAGTGCAGAATCACTAAACCGGAATTGATAGCTTGAAAACATTTAGTGTGGGGCCCATGAAAGTGCGGGGCCCGTGGCATATGATACTTATGCTACTAGGATAATCCGGCACTGCTACTGACCAAAAATTTTGATAGTGAACAGGAAACTAAAAAAACTACCCCATGAGCAATACATGTGCAGTGTAATGGGTGTTTCTGGCAGCAGTGGGTAGTGCGTCTGGGAGAGATTCAGCCGAGCTTGGCAAGTCCTTGTCATTGTAAACATATAAGACACTGCTAACAGACACGACTTTGTTGTGCAGAAAGTATGCTGCAGCTGTTTGGAAAATTGTGAACCTATGCAGCAAAGTGCATCATACGAGTGAAAAAAAGATAGCCGAATATCACGACTTTAATTGACTGTCATGCTTGCATAGCTGTATGAACACTTCAGACGAAAGACTAATATGACATTCGTTGTCTAAATCAGAGCTGCAAAGGTGGCTATTGAGAAAGCATTGGAGACCACTGTATATTTGGAAAATGAAGATGAGTATGTTCCATGGAGAACAGCCCTCAACAACCTCGGATACATCAACGAGATGTTCTCCACCTCCAAATACTATGGGAGTATCCAGGCAAGAAAAAAACAGGCGCACCTATTGATCACGCATCATTCAATACTAATCCTCTTTTGATGTTAAATTGAATTGTGTGAAATGTGTAAATAAAAAAAATAAGAGAAGGGACGTGTCACGATGTGAAAGTGCTTCCATCAAAGTGTCTCCAACGATTATTTGTTATGTCATCTGTTGTCTTCTCTTTACAGAAATACATGTTAAAGCAAATAGAAAATGTTTATCAGATACACAAAAACCTCAGTTTCGTTCCCAGTGGCCACATGGACCAGTGAGTATTGTAAATGTATTTCGTGAGTTTGAATTGCGCAACATTTTACTTCAGCACAAAATGTTAATGGTCAGATTAATATGAATTGTCTGATGTGTTCCAGGTACATGCAGGTGTACGCTCTGAACACGGCTTGTGGGTACGGCAAGCGAGAATGTCTAGAAAGTGCCTTGACAATATTCCAGAAGTGGATGGAAAATAAATCAAGCAATGTGTAAGTGCACATACAATTGTATTGAGTGTCACGGGTAAATTTACTTTCATGATAAAAGGCTCTTTGTCCCTCAATTGAGCGAATACCGATAACTCGTTATAGAACAACAGGGCTTGTCATAAAAAAACGAGGACACGCAATACGGGTATATTGAAGTTTTCGCAAAGCAATCTCATTTTATTCACTTTATTTTCACACCTGCAACAAAACAAATTAACACACGATGAAAACATCACGGTCGATAATGTTGGGGGTGTACGTTTGGATGGTTGGGGAAGATTAAGCATTTGTGAAAAAAGAGCTTCATAGCTCATCGGATTTCTCCAGGATAAATATTCTGATTCTACACGACTGCATCATTGCCTGGGCAGTTCAGTAATCTAATACTAATACATAATTTATTTTTAAAACCCCCATTGTGTTTTAAGAATTCACCCGAACCTTCGCTCGGTGGTATACTGCCAAGCCCTGGCAGCTGGTAGTATTTTGGAATGGGACTTCGCATTCAAGCTTTTCCAAGAGACTACCTTCCCTGTGGAAAAGGAGAAACTGAGATCAGCATTGGCCTGCAGCACCGAGCCCTGGATCCTCAGACGGTAAAGCCCTTGCTTGGCCTTACTTCGCCACAACCCTTGCAGATGCTCACCTCTACTTATGCTACGTGAATGTTCACTCTCACAAATTATTGGGTGGGTGGGGGGGGGGTGGGTGGTGGGTGCATGTGAATTGACAGGCTCCTGGAGTATGCTTTAGATTCAACCTTCATCAGGAAGCAGGATGCCACAAGTGTCATTACGTCGGTGGCCCGGAATGTCATTGGGCGGCCTCTGGCGTGGAGTTTCGTCAAAGAGAAATGGGACTTCATTTTCAACCAGTAAGTACTACACGTGTTTTAATTAATATTTACTGCACGCTTAAAGTGTATTTACAAATTACGTCACAAAATTATGACACAATTCTTAGTATTGAGATTGTACTGATATCTTAGACTCACAATATTACGTTTAAGTTGTGTACATATTCCAGTATTTGTAATTAATATAAGTGCAGAATGTGTTTACCTGTACAAACTTGGGAGAGTGTGTTGGCATTAGGTAATTCTCCTTTTATGCTGAAGTTTCCTGAAACATTTCCCTTTCTATACCTCAAGACCTACTTTTATATCATGTTTGAATGTTAAACTACATTGCCTCTGTTTACTTTAAAATATATATACAGTAATTATTCATTTGCATATGCTTTCTATGTTGTGCACATACATGCTCATACTTTGTTTCACCCTTTTGTAAGTTAACTTGTTTATGAGCCTGTACAAAGTCTTAAGATGTCTTCTTCGTGCTTTGATGCTAGCATAGCGTGTGTCGTTTTATGAATCCGGATTACTGCAGCCTTTGCCTCTTAATTGTCGACCCATGATGTTTTACAGGTATGGCTCTGGGTTCTTCTCTTTCTCAAACTTAATTACGGGCGTCACGAGGCATTTCAGCACGCAGGCAGAGCTCGGCGAGGCAAGTGGATCTGGTTCCAGCTTTACTTTAGCAATAAACATCCGTGGTCTGGCCTGGTTGGTTTGACGAATGGAAAGGTCCACTACCCTTTCTCGATCCAAAGTTCAATGTTTTGAAGCCCTTATTTGGGACCGCAAGAGCAGAGCGGTGCTGATGGTTGTTAGCCGGCTCTGTTCATTTACTCGTGGAATGCAGAGTACTGACAAGCTATGCTCTTGGAAAGTTTATTTTCTAAATATATATTTAACATGCAAGTTTTTTTTGTTGTACCATAAATCTGCATGCACTTTCATGACGCTTTGTCAAGTGACGATTTCATCACAATTATTTACAGCCCTCTCGTCAAGCTACCGCTTGATGTAATAGCTCCCCACAAACCGTGTTGGTCATGGGGGTTGTTTGACCATACTTCACCATGCTTGTCAGAGTGTGTTGGTGAAGGGCGTGCCCAAGACTGGTTCAGAAATTATTAAACACTGATGTTAGCTGTGATATCAAAGTGTAAAGCACACACATACACACACATACAGCAAAGATTTGCTGCAATGGAAAAAAGCCACAATCATATGTGTTCTCTTGATAATTGTATTAAACTGTAAATATTGTTTTGTTAGGGCAGCACTAAAACAGCCGAATTATGATTCCCTAGCACATGGATGAATGAAGGCATGCATTGATTTCCATGAATTCAAAAGGCATTTTATACTTTGTGTCATCAGCTTCTGCAATTTAAGGTGACACATCCAAACCTGGGTTCAGCTGCGGCCACCATGGAACAGGCCATTGAGAGGACCAGGACCAACATCCAGTGGAGGGACCAGAATGAGGAAAGAATCAACAGCTGGTTCGAGTCCAAAGTCAACCCAAATGTTATCTACTATTAGTTCTAGAAACGAGCCACATATTGCTTAAATCGCTCACTTTGACACTGAGAAAATTTTCAGTTGTATCCGCTTGAAATAATTTTCACTTTCATCTGTCTACTGTAATATATTACCCCGTGTTGAAATGTCTCGTGCGAAATGTATGACGTAAGCATTTATGGTGAAATGCTTTTCACAGACATTTTTGATACACCGAAAGCTATTGCAGTAATCTTCTACGTTTTTGTTTTACCCATTGATGTGTTATGTAATACATTTCGTAAGAAGCAAATTTTTGTCTTGATGATTTCATATAAAACCTCCACAGAGTAAAGTGGCATTTACAGTTTAAAAAAAACAAGTTCATAAAATTATTCACGTGTAGCTTGTTACCGCAAAGCTGCTGGTGTTGTCACTCAGGCAATGTTCAACATGTCTGCTGAGGCTCTCCATTTTCACATTTGGGGTTATCCATCAGCCTCGGTCGTATTGTCTCGCTGAACTTTAGACTACACACAATTTTTCATTCAAGGTAAGCACCTGGAAGGAGGTTTTTATTTTTTTATTTTTGAAAGAACCAGGTTCTCTAGAGTTATTAGCATAATCCCGTCATTATATTACTCAGTGCACATTCACCATAAGGGATGATAATGGTTAGTTTGGACTGATGGTGGAGTGGCAGCTAAAGGAGTAAAAAAAAACCATGCCCCAGAAGATGTCCACTGTCGAGATGCAGCGATCAAATAAGCTCATGCAGGTGCTAGAGGGATCCTTGTATCTCAAGGCTATGAGAGAGAGAGACAAAACACAGACACGTAGACACACAGACAGACACACAAGCAGAGAGACAACACAGAGACACACAGAGGGAGACATACAACATAGACTTGTGTGTGTCTCCCACGCTCACCCCACGCTGCTCACCACGCACGCCGCTCACCACGCTCACTCCTCACTCCACGCTCACCACGCACGCTGTCTGTGTTTTGTCTCTCTGTGTTTTGTCTCTCTGTGTTTTGTCCCTCTCTCTATTTTGTCTCTCAAATGTAGTCCTACCTGATGACGACTGCTTGTGTTGCAATCGAAACGTCGTATTGTTATCAAATTTATTTTCTTTCTACGTGGCTTTACCGACAGAACAAAAGAGTAAATATTGTTTTGTTTTCAAACTTTTAACTTGGTAACCATGTCCTATAAATGTAAAGCAAGACTGTAACCCCTGTGCCATGGCACTGAAGCCAAGATGAAACAAATATATTGTCGTTAAGATTAATTAACAGTTCACTATACTCTCATAATAGTTAATCATACGTTACTCATCAAAGTAACTTTACTGGCAGTTAAATATTTACACCACGTAAACTGAAATGAAACTTTGAAGGAAGCCATGCCTATTTAACGGATTACCACCTTAGTTACTCTGTTTAGTCCAATAATGTTTTGCTTGGACACCGTGAGCACTGTCAGGTAATGAAAAAAAAAAAACCTCGACGTTGAATATACGGGCCTCGGACCAAATCACTTGCGATGTGCCTGATGTCCGATCTCGGAACCTCAGCTAGCTGGGTTGAGCTTGGGCATTTATTGAATGGGTGACCTCCATGCACAGCAGGGTGTTATAGACTGCTGTGGGGCAGCTACGTGGTGGTAAGCAGAGGAGAGAGAGAGAGAGTGAGCGTCAAATTACACTGTTGTACCGTATGTCTATGCCCCCAACATCTACGCTACCCACCTTCACCAACCCGCGCTGAGCAGTCGAGTGATGTATGAGCATACATATAACCCCCGCGACCCGTCCAGCATCGGAAGGCCCTCATCCAGCAGTGGATTGACAAATGGCTGTACGCCAACATGTGTGAAAATGCAAAAGTACACCCCATTCAAACACCACTAAAAATATGCGCTTTGCTTGGAATGTATCACTTAGACTTATTGTTTTTAATTAGACTTTGTAATCCATATTAGGTGAACTTCATTTTCGAAGTAATCTGTGTCCAACTGCATTTGACTTAGATTACTTTAATTGCTGTCTAAGTAATTTGCGCGAAACTGCACTTGATTTCATAGTCGCACTGCATTTGACTTAGTTTTTCTTAGTGTCTCCAATGTTAAGGAACTCGAGCCTGAGTTACACGATTTTCGTCTCTGCTGATCCCGCAGGCAACATCTCTTTTCACGTAACTGTCTCTCCACATACAAAATAAGGTACTTCTTACACAACCCCATTGGCTACGTATGGTGCGAATAAAGTTCAACATACATAGCCCAAAAGTCTTACCCCCCGATGACTTTTAACATTTGGTAGCAAATTTTGATTTAAAGCTTTCGTGACTGCAATAATTCATATTCTTAGTTCTTTCGGTAAAGTCACGTTGAAGGGAAACAACAAAATAATAAAATATATATAAAACAATAAAAATTCTCACGACGTTTCGACCGAAAGAACTAAGAATATTTGGTAGCAAATTACATAAATGACCTTCATGTTAATGTATCTACACTTACATACAGAGAGAGATATATATATTAGTTTTTCAGAATTAACCAGAAATTTTTGCTCGAATTCCTACATTTCTGTAACTGCTTTTGCTCTTCTGGGGCGCATCTACAGAGGTTTAACACATCTTGACAGTGTTTTGAGCGATGTATTTTGAATGCTCACTGCAGTCATTTGTTGATGTTTTTGGCTGCTTATAAATCCCCAAAAAAGACCAAGGAAATATTTCAGAAGGCGCACATTGTGACGTTAAACTCATTGTTTGGTGATACTGCGTTAGCAGTGGACAAGCACATGCTACCAAACACTCAACACATTCGTCAACAACATTGTGGTTTAAAAGGAAAAATAAATAAATGGCAACGTTTCGGGCAATGGCCCTTCTTCCTAGCGCTATTAAGAATGGTCACTGACGAACATTTTCAGGTCAGTCACCAAATGTTTGAAAATAATATTATATACCGACGCACTTTTGTTTTCAATAATAACTTTTGTCTGCACACATCTAATACCAGGAATTCATAACTTGTTGGCATTTACTTGTTAAAAAGTAACAAAGCAGCTGAGTGGAGAATGACTAAGTAACACGCAACGCTGCAATCATTAACTCCGAAGAAAGGAACTGCAAAAGTAAGGACCATCTTTTATGGTGTTTTATTGGGTGCAGGCTAATAACACGCTTTTTTGTTTATGATCCACAATGTCATTTTCGGCGAGCATGATGAACCACACGCTCTGAAGGTTCAAACATTACATGTTCTTCCAGACTCCGCATCCCCCCCCACCCCGGGGACGTGTTTCCTCCGCACACTGGGTGCCCCATGCTTTGCGCTGCCCCCCAGCCATGTGAACCCCAGGCCCAGCCTTGTTCATTTACGGCTGGATAAACGCTCGTGGTGGGGGAGGTTGTTTGACCACATATGTAGTGAGTTATTCAGAGACACTATTTAGGAGGCAACAATGTTTATGCTACACTTTACGCAACACCATTACACACGGGACTAAATACACCTATTCTCACTTGTTGCCACAATACACATTTTTTTGTGGCATAGGGCCACAATACACATTTTTTTTGCATACTGGATAACTATAATCAGAGCAGCCACGTGCTCCCTGACCCACGATGTCGAAGACGGGGACGAAGACGTAAACGCAGCACTTGGGTTCCAGGTCACCTGCAGACAGCCCGGATCTGTGATCGGGGCTTCCCTTTAATCTCTCTCGGCACGGCCTGGCTCCACCCTCGGCCGCGCCCTACGTACAGAATATTCCCGACGGTTCCAGGCGACACCGCACCTGTTCCCTCTCTGGATCCGCCCTTAACCACGCCTCTTTCTGGAATTCTCTAGACGTTGATAATCGTGGTTTCCCCTTTCTGGAAATAAAAAAAAGATGTTAAAACACCAAACTGAAACCTTTGCAAGGAATCATGTCTGCATTAACCACATATACTTGTGGTGAACATGCAAACAAACAAAAACATGCTCTGACAGTATGTGCATCATGATGTAGCTGCTCACCCCGAGCTCTCAATGTCCTGATAGTGGCATTGTCTTTGTGCTGTTCACCTTTTGGCGTCCTCTGGTCTAACACTGTTTGAGACGAGGCTCTAAACAAAGATGTCTCTGGTGTGGACCAATCTGTTTCACAGACAATGCATCATACACTGTCAGAGCATGTTTTTTTTGTTTGCATGTTCACCACAAGTATATGTGGTTAATGCAGACATGATTCCTTGAAAATATTTCAGTATGGTGTTTTAACATCTAAACACCTGTTTTTAGACCGCGGCAAGGTAAGGTAAAAACAACGAGCCTACCTTTACCCTACCTTTTACCCTTACCCCATACAAATTACCCGATTACAGGGTAATTATTGGGGCACTACTGCACATGAAACATGTTTATAACAGGTATATGCTAGGTAGAGCGCTTTATTCATATAGAATACTCTCGAATCGGGCGTTGAGGCTGGTAAAAAGGGTAAATTACTTTACCTTGCCAAGGCCTACCTGTTTTATTGCCAAAGGGGAAACCCCCATTATCATAATTTAATACAGTACTGGCAAAGGAGGTCTCATGGTGTCTCTCGACGTTCTCAGCCACTCCCCCTGTGCCCCCTCGTTCACCTTTGGCCCACATTACTCACCCCGGCCCATCACGTGCTTCACCCGGTGCCGGAGTGACTCGTCCTCACATGGCCCCCACCACCAGCCGCCCCCCACCTCACTCTTCCAGCGGCCCCTCTCTGTGCTGATTCCCTGCGGCGCTGGTGGAGGCTGCAGTCCCCTACTCTGTCGGTAGGACTCGTCAGGCTTCCTCCTGCTAGCACCCAGTACCATGCCCCTAGTGGCCCCTTGAATGGTACTGCACGGTGTGTTCGCGACGCGCCAAAGTGATCCATTTAAACGTTGAGTTTTATAAGGGCACCACGGGGTGACCAGCCCCTCCCCACCCAGCCCCACCCCTCCCACCCCCCACCCAGCCCCACCCTCCCCACCCCCCACCCAGCCCCACCCTCCCCACCCAGCCCCTCCCCACCCAGCCCCTCCCCACCATCCCCAGCCCCTCCCCACCCTCCCCTCTCCACCCAGCCCCACCCCTCCCATTTTATCCGGGTGTCCGGATACACGTGGACAGCCATCCACAGACATACACAATGAATCCCCTGCCTCCTGTGAGAATTAATCCCGGTTGAGCTTCCAGTACACTACGTTCCTACCAGTAATGCCCACTAGGAGCGCATTTGTTATATATCCGGGTGTCCGGATACACGTGGACAGACATCCACAGACATACACAACAATTAATCCCCTGCCTCCTGTGAATTAATCCCGGTTGGGCTTCCA